TGTGAAAGCTGCCAAGGTGGAGAAAAGCTGTCATAGACAATTCACCTGATTTTCTGTCTTACCAATCATAAGAGATGAATCAATCTCACAAAAAGTAAACAAAATGAAACTTTATTTTTTAAAAAACTCACATGATACAACATGAAGCATCATTTGCAAACATGTTTAATTTTCATCTATAAATTACTGATCATGGGGGAAGGACAGCTTTAAAATTATTTTGTGTTTATATTACAGATCAAAACAGCTTTTTAATTATAGATCACCTCCCAAAAAACGAATAAAGAGAAAATAAGTCTTGAACTCAGTTTGAAATTGAAACAAGTTTGAATTTGAAATACTTTCTGCCCCCCATGTGATAATTATTTTAAAAAATCAAGAACATATATCAAATTACACTTAGTTTCCACTTGCTTTTCCTGTATACCAAGAGTTTGGAATACAATTTCCAGCATGCTATTAAAAATAAGCCTTTTAACCGAAAAAAGGTTCCCCATTCTAAAAATAAATGAGAAGACTTGAATAGAATAGAAGTCCCCCACAAAACAAGGTCTGTAAACCATTTATTAATGAAAGCTTCATTCTCCAAATTGTTGAAATAAACATAAGGTGACTGAGAAAGCACATAGCTTAGGCCATTTCTCTTTTTTTGCTATAAGGAACATCCACAGAAATTCCTACTCATTAATTGCATAACATTTCTACATTTTCCCTCTCTCCTTTCACATAAAGGAGGAAGAAACCTGATCCCGAGATCATACTATCCCATTTATGCGCTACTGGGTATCTCTTATTTGCTAATTCTCATTGGCTATGTGGTGACCTTCTCCAAAGGTATGTTTTCCTCTTTTATGTTTTGCAATATTTCATGTAATAAAAGAGGGAATTTCTGAGGAAAGCTGAGAAACTCAGAGCAGATTTCCAGTTTTTCCTGTTTGATTTTGGGCTCAAATGGCCAGAGGAATATTGACTCTAAAGCAAGGTGGAAGATCTTTGTGGTAAATTATGTGTAAAAGGAGCCCTGGATAAATCTGCAGCATTGAGCTAGAACAGCCTTTCTCAACATTGTATCTTCCAACTGTGTGATACTCCCTGCTCCCATCTCTACTAACCAACACAATCTAGAGATCTTGGGAATTGTATTCCAATAGATTTCAGGAAGGCTTCTTAATACAGTTAGTCCTTGACATATGAGTATAATTGGATCCAGATTTTCCATTACTAAGCAAGGTACTGGCTTCACACCTGATTTTATGATCTTTTTTGCTATGGTCAAGTAAATCATTGCAGTTAAGTTAATAATGTGGCTGTTAAGTGAATCCAGGATCTCCCATTGACTTTGCTTGTCGGAAACCGGCTGGGAAGGTCACAGGTGGTGATCACATAATCCTAGGATGCTGCAACCATTGTAAATCCAATGCTGATCGCCAAGTGTCCAAATTTTGATCACATGATCATGGAGATGGTTGTGAGTGGGAGGACCAGTTATAAATCACTTTTTTTCAGTGCCATTGCAACTTCAAACAAACACTAAGTGAATCGTTGTAAGTCAAAGCCTACCTGTAAGCAGCCTCCTGGTTTTTATAGACTCTTTAGGACTCTCTGGTTAACTGAGATGGGAATGAAGATGTTTTGAGGAAACTCAGACATGGAATCTACAGTTTTTACCTATCAGTCTTCCTCAATCTAGAGCAGGGGTGTCAAACGGCGTCACTTTGTTGTCACGTGATATATCGCAACTTTTTTTCCCTTCGCTAAAATGGGGGTGGGCATGGCCACCACGTGATGCATCTGGACCGTGGGCTGCGGGTTTGACACCCACGATCTATTCTAGAGTCTTCCATTTATATTGGATTTTAATTCTCAGTTTGCTCCAGCCAGCACAGTCAGATCAGGCAATCTGGGGATATATGAAACCTGGTATATAACACATATCTGCAATGTAAATACAGCTTTAATCCTGCAAAGAATTTGCCAACAGTTGTTCTCGTTTAGTTTTGTATTGTTGTTTGGTAGAATTTAATAATTAAAAACTGAGTTTCCCTGGCACAATGACATTTCCTTCTTATTCTCCAATGCCATTCCCGCTGCTCTTGGTTAGCACATTTGTACATAATATCTATTGGAGAACGATACTATACAACACAGTATAGGATTGTATCCTTCATTCCTGAACACTTCTATACTTCTATATTATTGTGGATCAATGCCACCTTTCAGGAAAAAGTCTTATCAAAACAGTGTGTAAGGTGCACCAATTTCATTAATAAAATCATAGTTAAGTAGAACTTTGGAGATTGTTTCCACTGAAACATTGAAACCATTGCCCCAATGATGTTGGGCAATCCAACTGGAACAGACTCTGAGGTGGGCTTTATCTGCTTGCCTTCTCTTCCAGGAAGATTCCCAAGGGCCATTCGTGGCAAAAATTCTGTGGTGAGCAGAATGAAACAGTTCTACAAGAGCAACTTCTGAGATAGGTGTCATCTGCCCTTCTCTTCCGATTACAATTCTGTTCTTACTATAAAGCAGAGGGTCTTCAAACTTGACAGCTTTAAGACTTGTGGACTTCAACTCCCAGAATTCCTCCTCCAGTCATGTTAGCTCAGGAATTCTGGGAGTTGAAGTCCACAAGTCTTAATCTTGCCAGGTTTGAAGACCCTTGCTATAAAGAGTGACATTGCAAGATTTCTAACATGCATTTCTTTCCCTTCCTTTACAATCTTAGTCTCAACAATTTCATCCGAACTCAACCAGATGACAGTCAATTTTTCAAAAGATCACTATGGCCACGACTTTCACTGTAAGTTTCTCTATTTCCTTTTCTGGTCTCTACTTCATGGGGCAATTCTGCTCTGGGTTCTTTTTTCTTTTTTTGACAATTTTGCTGCAGGTCAAGAAACAGTACTACTTTAGTATAGGGACATATCTAGCTTTGTCTGTGCAGTTTGCTTTTATCAGTCCTTATCATCAGAACAGTCTTCTTGATCTTGCATGCATTGTCAAGCCAAGCCAGTATCAATTTTTGACTTTATTTTTTTCCTCCTGTTGCTCAGTGTTCCCATGTGGTGCTGACACCAGACAATGGGAATATTTTGGTGGAAAGTGCTACTTCTTCTCTCTGAAGACAATTCCCTGGCATGCGGCCAAGGTAGATTGTGAAAACAAACAGTCACAGTTGGTCGTCATTGATAGTCTTGCAAAACAGGTAAGATGGGACACCTACAAATTGGATGTAAACTTTCTTCCCAGGACAAAACAAGCATGAATAAAGCTAAAGTATCATTTCTTTCCTATCTTGGGTGCCTTGCTCTGGTTCAGATGGCATTCACTCCTAGAATTTATAATGTTATGCAGGTTCACAGGTGTGACTCAATAAAAAATTAAAGACTGAGTCTGGGTTTGTCTTAATAAGTCAGATATGTTTATTCAGCTGAATAAAGATGGCTCCTCCTAAAGGTGGAGGAACCTTGAACACAGTGTGAGGCAGATATTTATACATTTCTTTGTTTTCACTTAAAGAGAAAGCTGGCACACAGTAGATAACGTATAGAAATATAGACATTATAAAAATAGTCAAGCACACCTTTTGTGGTTTTGGTCACATGCCTAATCCAAAGGCTGGTTGTTTCCTGTGAAACTTTCCTTGGCCTCAAAGGATGGCTGAGGCCTGAACTTTAGCCTTGCCATCTTAACCTCTGAGCAATCATCAAATTCATCAGATTCCTGATCAACAATAAGAAGTAACTCAACCCCCATTTATTTTTAATTTTTATTGGTTTTTAAAACAAACATAAACAAACAAAACATAAAAACATCAAATCATCTTCTATATATGTACATACGGTGTGCCGGTTGGTTTACAAATTGTTTTGTGCTTCCATTTCATAGTCTTCAATTATAATTACATTGTATATAATCTCGTATTTTCAATCAATATATTAAATACATTAGTATCATTATTAATCAATCATTTGACTATACTTTTATTCATTCATGTTTTCCAAAATGATCATATTTTACTTAATTTGTTTTATAACAATTCGTATCATTGTCCCTGATCTATCCTAGAATCATTTTGTAGATATAATTAGAAAATACATCTTTATATATTTATTATTTTCTAAAAGACTACATATTTCATTACTATATTTTATTGTCTAACCATTGATAGAATAGATCCCAAATTTTATAAAATTGTTTATCATCTTGTTCTCTAATTTCAAATGTCAATCTACTCATTTCAGCACATTCCAATATTTTCTTAATTATTTCCTCCTGTGATGGTATTTTCTCATTTTTCCAGTTTTTAGCAAATACAATCCTAGCCGCTGTTAATACATTTACAATCAGGTATTTCAAGTCTTTACTATATATTTCAGGTAAAATTCCCGATAAAAATATTTCTGGTTTCAAATCTATATGCTTTTTTGTCATTTTTTCCAACCACGTGTGGATTTAGTCCAGTATTTTTTAGCATCCGCACAAGTCCACCACATATGGTAATATGAGCCAGGTATCTGATGACATTTCCAACATTTTTCAGATTTATTCTTGAACATTCTTGCTATTCTTGTCGGGGGAAAGTGCCACCTGTAAAATATCTTATACAAATTTTCTTTATATGCTGTTGACATTGTCATTTTATAATTTTGAGACCATTTCTCAAGATCAATCCCATATCCAAAATTCTTCCCCCAAGCAATCACAGTTTCTTTAACTTGTTCTTCTTCTAGTTTAATTTCTAATAAATATCCATACAATTTTTTAATCACCTTTTCATCAGTACCTGTCAAAATCTTATCTAAGTCAGTCAGTTTATCATAGAAACCTTCTGTTTTAGAATCTTTATCATACCTTGAATGTATTTGCGCATGTGAAAACCAATTCATCTTTATACCTTGTTCCTCTAGTTTTTGTATAGATTTAAGTTCACCCTTTTCATTCAATATTTCACCATATCTAACTGTTTGTTCCTTTTTGTATATTATAGGATAAGAAAATGCTTCAATAGTCGATAGCCAGACTGGAATTTTCAAATAACATTGTCTTTTAATCTTCTCCCAATTTAACCACAGAGACTCCCGTATATAATGTCTTCTAAAATACCCCTGTGTTTTAGTTCCTTTATACCATAAAAAAGCATGCCACCCCAACAACAGGTCATGTCCTTCTAATGTCAACAATCTAATATTTCTTAATGTTATCCATTCCTTAACCCACATCAAATTTGTAGCTTGATAATACAACTCCCAATTAGGCAAACCAAATCCTCCTCTTATTCTAGCATCTTGCAAAAGTTTTAACTTTATTCTCGCTTTCTTACCTTGCCATATATATTTCAACACAATTTTACTTAAATCTTCAAAGTAGTCTTTTCCAAGCCTAATTGGAATAGTTTGAAACAAATATAAAATTCTGGGTAATATATTCATCTTGATTGTTGATATTCTCCCTATTAATGACTGTTGTAAATTTTCCCATTTCGCCAAATCTAGCGCTATCTGCTGTTTAAGTTTAATATAATTATTCTCTTTTAGTGTACTGCATCTTGCTGTCAAATGTATCCCCAAATACTTGATCTTATTTGTGACCTGAATAGACAAAACATCCACCAATTCTTCCTTTTGTCTTGATAGCATATTCTTTGTCAAGATCTTTGTCTTATCTTTATTTATTTTCAAACTAGCCACCATTCCATATGTCTCTATCTTTTCTATCAATTTTGATGCTGTTTCTAGTGGGTCTTCTAAGATAAAAACCAGATCATCTGCAAATGCTTGCAACTTAAATTCTTCCTTTTTAATTTTCATCCCTTTTATATTCTTTTCATCTCTAATATTTCTATTTAGCACTTCCAAAGTTAACACAAACAACAGAGGTGATAGTGGGCACCCTTGTCTTGTTCCTTTTCTTATATCGATAGATTCCGTCAGTTCTCCCTCTATCATTACCTTTGCCGTCTGCTTATTATATATAGCTTCTAATGCTTGAATAAATTTTCTAGCAAAGCCCATCTGTTCCAGCAGTAATAACATGAATCGCCAATTCACATTATCAAATGCCTTCTGTGCATCTAGAAATATCAAAGCCATTTGTTTTTCGGGATGTGCCTCATAGTATTCCAAAGTGTCCAAGATTACTCTCATATTGTCTTTGATTTGTCTCTTTGGCAAAAATCCATTTTGGTCAGGATGAATAAAATTATTTAAATATTTTTTAAGTCTTTCTGCCAATATTGAAGAAAAGATTGTATAATCTGCGTTTAGTAGGGAAATTTAATTTGTAATGGATCGGCCTCCTCTTTTGGAACAAGTGTGATATAAGCTTCTGACCATGATTTAGGTATCCTCTTCTTTAACATAACTTCATTCATAACTTCTAGCAATGGAAAATTCAATGATTCTTGTAATGTTTTGTAAAATTCTGCCGGAAGTCCATCTGGGCCTGGTGCCTTTCCATTATTTTGTTTCTTAAGTGCTTCAGTTAACTCCATCTTCATTATATTGTTTTCTAACATTGTTACAATCTCTTTAGGTATCTGGGGTAAATTAGCATTCTGTAAATACTGTTTAACTCTTTCTTCATCCATACTCTCTTGTGTGTATAGTTTCCCATAATAATCTCGAATAATTTCTTCTTCTCTTTACTACCATAGCAAACTTGGCCTTGATCATCTATTAATTGCAATATTTTCCTTGATTCTTTCTCCTTTCTCAATTTATATGCTAACCATCTACCTGGTTTATTTGCATCTTCAAAGTAGTTCTGTTTCGCACCTCTAATTTTTTGCGCTAATTCTTCTTCTTCTATTAGACCCATTTTATATTTGGTTATATCCATTTTTAGCTTAATGTCCTTTCTCTGTGGCATTTTCTGTAACTCTTTTTCAAGTCCTTTATACTCATCTTCTAATGCCTTAGAGGCTAATCTTTTCATAGTATTTCTTTTCCTTGTATAGTCTATTATCAAGCCTCTGGCATATGCCTTCATTGTATCCCATACATTCTGGATTGATGTATCTTCTTTTTTGTTTTCTCGAAAGAAAAAGGCCAATTCTTTCTCCATCCACTGTGTGAAGTCTTTTCCCTTTAAAATAGTATTATTTAACCTCCATCTAGATTTTCTTCTTTCTCCTTTCCATTTAATTGTCATTGGATTGTGATCTGCCCAAGTACTTGTTTCAATATTTATTTCTTGAATATTAGTTAACAATTCTGTTGATATCCATATCATATCTATTCTGGACCATGATAAGTGTCTATTTGAGTAGAAGGTGTATTGTTTAGTTTTAGCATTTCTTTCTCTCCATGTATCTTTTAAGTTTATCTCATCTACCATTTAAAAAAAAGATTTAGGGAGAGTCTTTCTATTTTGCTTTATTGTTTTCTGTGTTGTGTAGTCCAGTTTATTGTCTACAATTCCATTAAAATCTCCCATCATAACTATATTAACATAGTCCAGTTCAACTATTTTCATATGTAATTTTTTTATAGAATTCTTCTTGATTGTCATTCGAGGCATAGATTGCAATCAGGAGTGTTTTCGTATTATTGTCCATTATTCCCACCATTAATATTCTTCCGTCGTCATCAGTATAAATCAATTTTGCTGAGATGGTCTCTTTAATATATAAAACCACTCCTCTTTTCTTACATTGTGTCAAGGAAGTGAATATTTTCCCTAATTTTGGCTGTATCAACAATTGTTCATATTGTTTTTTAATATGTATTTCTTGTAGGCAGATTATATCAAATTTTAATTTCTCTAATTTATGAAAGATTTTCCTTCTTTTAACGGCTGAGTTAAGTCCATTTATATTAATTGTAATCAATTTTTTCTCTCCCATGGTTATATTTTGTAATTAGGTTTGACAGCTCTCGTGGATCTTGGTTCACGTTGTTCTTTGGCTTCCTCCTTTCCACCTACTACACCTTCTTCTTTTGCAGTCGTCATTTGGGAGTCCTCTTGGAATTCAATTAGTGAAATTTCTTTTTCTGCCTCTTCCTCCCCTCTGAAAAATTCTGTGTAAAATGATTCAGCTTTCTCAATTGAATCAATTCTATATCTCTGTTTTTGCCATGTAAACATTAAACCTTTTGGAATCAGCCATCTATAATTCACCTCTTTTTTAAGTAACAATTTGGTCAAGAATCGGTATTCTCTTCTCATCTCTCTCATTCTTCTGGGTACTTGTTTCAAGACCACAATCTCCTTATCTTTGTATTTCAATGTTTTCTCTCTTGCCACTTGCAATATTTGCATTTTAATGGCTTTCTTTGTAAATCTGATGTGAACTTCTCTTGGTAAGCTATTTCTCATCGCATATCTTGTGAAGACTCGATAAACCTCATCTATTCCATCCATCATCTTCTCTTCAGTTATTTCCAAAGCTTCAGCCAATATTTCTATCATTATCTCAGCTAGATTTTGTCCTTTTTCTTCCTCTATGTTTTGGAATCTAAGATAAAATTCTGATCTGTCCATCTCCCATCTCAGCATACCATTTTTATCTTGTTCAACCACAGTTAATCTGTTATAAATGTCTCCAATCTTCTTGTCTCTTTGTTTATCTTCTTCTTCAATTTTTTGGAGTCTCTCATCATACTTCATCATCATTTGTTGGATGTTCTCCACTTTTACATCGGTTTTCCCTGTTCTTTGTTCAATATTGTCTGTTCTTTGTTCAATGTTCTCTATTCTCTTTTCAATATTCTCTGATCTTGTTTGAATATTTTGAATTCCTTGCATAATCATCTGTAGGGTCACTTTTTCTTGTTCTTTTTCTTGCCTCAACATTGTCTGTATTGAACGTTGTTGATGGTGGAGAGGAAGAAGTAGAAGTTGAGGGACCAGGAGCTATTAATTTCCTACTCATTTTGAGCAATTCAAAATCTTCAGGTTCTTCTAGACCTTAATTCAATTGTGGTATAACCAATTGCAGTTCCAAATAAAAATAGTAGGAAAAAAGAAGCCAAATAGTAATAATAATAAAAAAAGAAAAAAATTCTTCAGGTTCTTGTATACCTTAATCCAATTGGTTGGTTAGATAACAATAAAAATTCAAAAATAAATTTTTGAAGGAAAAGACCATAAACACACACAAAAAAGAAAAAGTTGTAAAATCCTAAAAAAGATGAAAAAGTGAAGAATAAAAGGTTAAAAAAAGAAAGGAAAAATTCTTCAGGTTCTTCAACACCTTAATCCAATTAAGAGGTCTCAAATATAAAAGGATGCATAAAAATAAACCAAAAAGAAAAAAAGAAAAAATCAATATGGAAGGTAGATGGAAAGACAAAAATACCAGAAAGGGAGAGAGAGAAAAAAGCTACTCCCTTAAAAAAAAAAAAAAAGAAGGGAAACATTAATACTAAAACTTTTCCTTTAAAATAAAAAGCAAGTGTAGAAATTCAACTTCCAAAGACAAGAAAAAAAACAAAGACAAGTTCCAAAGAGCCGAAAATCCAAATAGCTATTACAAAAAAAAGTAAACTGATGAGGAGGGGTAGCACAGCTTAGAAAAATTAAAAAGAGCACACTGCACTTTGTTTAATTATCCAAGGCTCTTGTTATAACTCTCTTCTCCAGAGACTTATCACCTTTTCTTTTCCTATAAGCTTCAACACCAGACTCCAGCTGTTGATAGAAACCCAGAAGAGCACCTGCAATAATACTCTCCCATGCTCTTCCCTCTATCTTATCAAACAGGCAACGTCCTTGAAAAGAAGTCTCAGTTCTTTCTCAGCTTTGTCTGGTCAAAAGAGAGATAGAATATTTCCAAGCCTCTAGTTGGCAGTGTTACAAAGTTTCTTTAACTTTCACTTTCCCCCTCCTTTTCCAAGTAAAATATAATAAGAATTAATTAAAAAAAGAAAAAGATATTTTTTTAAAAAATAACTAAAAGGGAGTCTCTGGCTTAAAATATTATAAAGTCAAAAAGGAGAAAAGAATAGATAAAAAGAAGAGAAAAAAACCGGTCCAGTTTCAAAATATAAGATCATGTGTAGAAAATCCAGCAATGAAAAAAAAAATATTACTTTGACATTCCTGTTTAAAATTGCCGCTTAATCAATTCTGTGAAAACTTTTACAGATTCTTTCTTTTCCTTAGGGTGTCCTTTCAAATCTTAAAATAAAGAAAAAGTTCTCACCAAACCGGCACATTCTCTCTTTCCGTTCTCTTTTGTCTCGGAGCTGTCACAACTTCAGCAGCTTTAATGGCTGCCTCTTTGCCACTAGCAAAAAGAGCTTCTCCTGGATCTACCAGGGACTTTGTGGTATCCCTGGGATCAACAGGATGCGCTCTTTACATTCACCGTCTCTTCGGGACGGTTTAGATCCACTTGGACCGTCCAGGAGCAAAGATATCGGCAGCGATCTCAGACCTCCAAGATCGCATGCCGTATCGTCGTGACGCCAGCTTCGCCCTAATCCAACTCAACCCCCATTTTTCTCCTTTCTTCTGTTTTATGGTTACAAAGGAAATATTCTCCAGCATTTTCATTCCAAATGACATTTCATATTTCTTGGATTTGTCACTTGCAGAATTTCATACAGACTCGGACCAGAAATGAACGTTTTTGGATCGGTCTCCATGACCAACTTACAGAAGGAGAGTGGAAATGGTTGGATGGCAGTAATTACAGAAATGGCTTTCAGTGAGCACTGAATATTTGTTGTTGTTGTTGTTGTTGTTGTTGTTGTTGTTGTTGTTGTTGTTAGCAGAGTTGGGGAACATGTGGCTTTTCAACTGTTGCTGAACTTCACCTCCCAGCTGTCAAGGTTGAGGGATAGATTGGGAACTGCGGTTCATCACCAACTGAATGGCTACCACTTGCTTACCCATCATGAAGTAGAAACTCACCTTCAACTCCAGGTTTTTTTTCCAATGTCTTTGAAATTCTGACAAGCAGAAAAAGTGAAAGACTGGCTTCAAACATCATACCAAGCTATAAAAATGATTTTATGTTGGCTTAACATGATGTGTGAACCCAACCAGCAATCACTCATAGCAACATAATGCCCCGTGACATCCTTTAGACTTGTAATCCTATAATCACATGCCCTAAAATAAGCCACATTTATTTCCAGGGAAGGTGATTTGGGGTCTATTCCATTTAGGTCAGGGGTCTTCAAACTTGACAGCTTTAAAACATGTGGACTTCCACTCCCAGAATTCTTCCTCCAGTCATGTTAGCTCGGGAATTCTGGGAGTTGAAGTCCACAAGTCTTAAACTTGCCAAGTTTGAAGACCCTTGATTTAGGCAATCTATTTTGCTGTGAGACTGATGAGGAATTTCAGCTTTCATTTAGAAACATTTATCAGTAAAATGTTTAGGAAACAATAGCTTGATAGCTGCAGAGATATGTTAATTGAACTTGAGATTATTTTTGACTATTTGAGATAGAAAAACATGCATCATCTCTTGCTTCTATCTCAGGAATTGGAAGGAAGGTGAACCCAACACTTACCTGGGTCGTGAAGAGGACTGTGGCCAAGTTTGGATTAATGGTGAATGGAATGATTACATCTGCTCATCCGAAAGCTTTTATGTCTGTGAAAAGCCCAGATCGAGCACACCCAAAGCTGCCTCAAAGCGGCCCTGAGCCTTGAAGCAGAATGTCTAGAAAGCAATTTGGAAGGCAAGACTGCAGCCCTCACATCATGATCGACAAAGCAGCACTACACTTTTGTTAGACTAAGATCTCAATTTAACATGGAGACAGTACTATATTGGTAGCTCTAGATTATCTGGCAATTCTGTAGCTAAATCAAATTATCCATGTAAATTTTCTAAGCAATTGTTTCCTGCAACCTGGAGGAACCAAATACTAAGGTCTGGAAAGTCTGGAAACTATCCCTGAAATCATTATATATGGGAGATAAATTTAATGCCATTGGGCATAATATAAATGTTCTTGCTATTGCTATGTCATTATACGTCACAAAACAATGTGAAAATATTAAACTTAAACTACCCCCAAAAAATCACCAGTTATACCTCATATTTGCCCAATAGTAATTACAACCACAGGGGAAGAAGATGAGTTAAAGTTAAAATGACCAGGGTTCAAGCATTCTATTAAGACCTATTTACTAAACTGTGTGTTATTGAATAAGCCCCAGTTGACTTTGTACAACAGGCTACAAGCTAAGCCATAATTTATAAACTGTAACAGCTGGTATTCAATGGCATGCTAATACAAAACCTAGCACAGCATGTCATGTTTTAGTGATCCTGGCTGCTTCCTGTGCGATTCTACACTCCAATTATACAAATGAAAGTCAAGAAACACATTGTTTCTTGGATTTCAAAAGGCCAAGGTATGTATCAAGTATGAGTTAGTTTTTTTTTAAAAAAAAACAAATTTTATTAATTTTTAAAGACATACAAGACATAAAACATAAGAACATAAAACCTCTTTTCTGAAAGTTATTTGTAAATTTTAACAAAACAAATAAAACATTTTATACACCATTGACACATCTCCTTATAGACACATACATATCCTTTCAAGTTTCTCATTATTTCTCCCTTTACTTTTATTCAATTATATTTCTTTTCTTATATTTATCTATTTTATATGTTTTTATTCAGTATACTTATTTTTCCTTCTGACTTACTTTATTCTCTTCTATCTTTTATTCTCAATTGTCCTCTTCTAACATTCCTCCAAGGTTTTATTAACTCAATCAAACATAAAACACACAAAAACACAAAACATAGAAACATAAAAAACATATTTTCTGAAAGTTGCTTAGTCCCGGGTTACAACTCTTCGTACAGACACAAATTCAAATTCAGATTCATTTTGTATACAATTCCATATCTTATTACCATTTTCAATTTTCTATACAGCTTCTCATCTCTTTTAAATTTTCTTAGCTTTATTTTATTTATCTCATCTCAATTCAAATCATAATATTTATTATTCTTTGTCTGTTCTATTTCCAGCTATCCATTTATCTTTCTTCTTTAAACAAAACTTCTCCTGTACACTAATTGGAGTATAACACCTTTATCTCTTTCCCCTACATTTATAATACTTAATATAAAATACATAGCTTACGTTGGGATTCTGTTTGGTACATTCTAAAATTATACAATATTATCAATGCCAATACAATCTATTCATTAATATTAATATTCATTTATATCTTAAACACTTAACACATTACTTTTCAGTTAAATATCATACTTTTATGGGGACACCTATTTTCCATAGTTATTTCCCCCCCACATCACATATTTTAAATCATTATTTCATTAGAATGTTCCCCAAATCTCTCATTTATTTCATTGCTTTCTTTTTCTTCACAAAAAATTTCACTGGGATAACACAATCTAATCATTAATATTAATAAACATTTTACCCATTTCAATTAAATATCATGCATTTACAGGAACACTTATTCTTTCCATAGTTATTTCCCCCCCCCCCCCACATCACATATTTTGAATCATTATTTCGTTAAAATGTTCCCCCTTCTCCTACTCCAATTCTCCCATTTATTTCATTACTTTCTTTTTCTTGACAAAAATTTCACTAAATTACACTAAATATTTTATCACATTTTAAATTACATATTATTTCCAATTTTCTAAGATTATTTCTAAGTACAAATATAAAAATACAATCTTATGTACCTTTCCAGAATCCCTTTTTCAATAAAATTTACCCATTATCTCTAAAAGACTTTTGTTTCTTTGCATCTAGCTCCCCACCATTGAGGCTTCTCATCCCTTCCTTTGTCCCTTGCTTATTCTTCTCCTTGCCCTCTTTACCCCCTTGTCTCTCCACCTCCCTTTTGTTCTGCTTTCCTCCTTTCTGTTGTTTTCTAACATAGTATCCACTTTTCACCTTATTCTTCTCTTTTTTGGTTGTTTTTCCAAGTCTTAAAGTCCCCTTTCCCTTTTTCTCTTTCTCCTTTCCTTCCCCAACTAAAGTCACTTGTTCATCAAAAATGGCTTCTTCTTTATCCCAGTCATCCTGTTGCGGAGTCAGGTTTTCATAAGTACAAACCGCCATTTCTAAAAATTGAAAAAGAGTGCCAAGAGAATCCTTCCCTTCCTGTTCTTCTTTTTTATATTTTTGGTATTCAAGTTTCAATGCATCCACAAGTGATGCCATTATGAGAGAAAAGGTTTTTCCAAACAACCACCCAAGTGCTTTTAATCAAAGATAGTTCTCAGAAGTTCCAAAATCACCAAGCAATCCAAATAAGCTGTTTCTTTTAAGTACTTTCTCCTTCTTCACTTTCTCTTTCTGGAGTTAGTATTTAGTCACCAAGTTCCATTTAAAATATATCTTTTAGAAGTCTTATTAATGTTTAATAACTCTTTAAAATTCTAGGCAATATTCTCCTTGTTTTCAAATTCTGCTCCAATTTTTTTTCCTCTCCCTTCCCACTCACAGCAAAAAAGTTTTTGTTTTTTTTAAAGTTCAGAAATCCTTATCCCATCAGCATTTAGTTACCTCCAATGCAGGTTTTCCGATTTCTCTTATAGTTCCATCCACTGTCACGTTAGGAAGGAGAGTGAAAAGAAAAGAAAAAAACTTTCCCTTTTAGGATTCCATTCGCCGCTTGTAACTCTCTCTGGAAACAATTTATCTTGGCAACTTTCAAATTCCAGGGTACTTTCCCTTACTTTATCCCCGTCAAAAACCACTTTCACAACTCTTCCGACTTTCTTCCTCCTACACAATCTTGTCCAGCTGCAGGTTTCTTTGTGGCGGCCATTACTGACCGCCGCTCCTCTGCCTTGGGAAAAGGGGGTTTTGCCGGCTGGGGAGGGGGTCTGCAACACCCCCAAACCCCTATCCGGATCCCCCCTGTCTTCAGCTGCCTCTACGGGGCAGCTATATCCCCCAAATCCAAACGGATCGGGGGCACCTTGGCAGCGAGCGCAGCAGGGATCGTGCGGTATCGCAAATCCCTGCCACTGCCGAAGCCTTGCAAACCAGAAGTCCCAAGTATGAGTTAGTTTTTGACACCATGTAAGTTGGTAGGTTTGGACCACACAAGAAGGAAAGACATCATCTCTGGAAACCTCTTTTGGACAAGTGTAAGTCAACATCTCCATCTAATCTCACACATTAGCAAATCAAGGAACTCATCAGGATAGGACACATTCCCAGCACACATATTCGCTATCTATGAAATCACACACAAGACACCAGCAATCAAGTTCCAGCAAGTTCAACCAGCAATCTCCATCCACCTTTACAGACAAGAGTTTGAATATCCTTTCTTTCCCAACAAGCATTGCTTTGAATCTTAACATGGAAAAAGATTGTAGACAGCAACCTTTCAGTTCTTTTGAGCAGAGCTTCCTTTGTTACCCAGACCTTTTCTTTTGTTACCCCAAAGCCACCTATCCAAAAAAAGCCTTTTCACCACTTATTAGAAAGTTCTTATTTAAACTTTCCTGTTGTGATTGAGCAATAGGTTCATTTGTCATTATGCTTTTTACCAAATTTGGGGTAATTTACTCAGGTTTGGGAATCACTGTGTTAAGATGCTAAATCAGAGACATCACAAGCATCTTGGATCATAGAATCATAGATCCATCAGATGGGGGAAAATAACATTTTTTTCAAAACCAGGTTGCTGAGGGAGAGATCAGGAAACACCAGAAGGGGGGTTGATGTCTCACTAAATGTATTGGGAAAGGGTTTTCTTTTTTTAAAAAAAGAAGTAATTTAAGTACCTTTAGCAGAAAAGAGGAAAACTATGACTTTTCACACAGGAAAAACATGCACATTAAAGGGGAAACTTAGTGGATTTTTTTTAAAATGTCCATCAATTTTGCTTCTCTAATTTTGGAAGCCCTCAAAGGTGAGAAGCCACACACAGCCTGGGGGCAGATTTCCTATGTATGAGGTGTGTGGAAAAGGAATTGCTTTTATTGAGTCCCAGTCTGATCCATAAGTAAGCATTGTCAATGCTTAATTCCTGGAGTTGTGAGTGCTCTATTGCTGGAAGTTTTAAAGAATACAATGGACAGCTATTTCATACAGTCTCCTGGCTTGAGCAGGGAGTTGTACTAGAAAATCTCCGAGACCCCTTCTAGCACTATGATTCTTTTTTTTTCTTTTTTGGTAAAAGTTTTATTTGGGTTTTCACAAAACATAATGGGAAAAGAAACATCTTTTTTGGAGACCAGCATGAATCCAGGTTATCACATCTCCATACAGACATAATCTCAGTTACATAATCATCTTATATATTCAATTTCATATCTTGTCACCATTTTATCAATTTCTCTCTAATTATTCCCTTCCCTTATTTTCCTCAACCTTATTTTATAATTATCTCATTCCTTTCAAATTCAATTACATATCTTTTTCTAAATTTCTGTATCTTTCTAATCATACTTTTGTCTGTCCTGTTTACAATTTCATATATTCTTTATCTATCATCATCCTGAAAAGGAAAGGAAAAAAAAAATTCCCTCCCCTTTCAGGCTTTAAAAAGCAAGGTTTCTCCTGTAATTACCAAATAGAGTGTGTCGCCTTTAAATCTTATAATTATCCTTTCAAATCTCATTAAACATTTAATTTATACATTATACAATTATGACATTCAATTTCTAATATCTATTTTATATCATATACCTCTTTTCAATTGAATTCCACTTGGTACTTTCCCTTAAAAATACACACATAATTCTAAAAAAAGAAAATATTTATAAAATAATGAATAAAATGATTATTCCATTCAAGTTCATCCTAGCAACTGATATTGATTTCATTATAAATCTTCACATTTCTTTTCAATTATATTTTATAAATTATAAGACATTAAAAACAATTAAAATATTTTAAAGAAGAAGCACAAGACAGAAGAGGATCTTTTGGCTTCATATTTCAATTTTTAAAAATGGAGATCTTGAACTATGAAAAACAACAAGAAACGCTGGCAGAACAAGAAGGGCAGGACAACGAAGAAGCCATCTTTAAAGACCAAGCAATTTTAAGCAGGGTAAAAAAGGGAAAGGGGGGAAAGGGAGTTAAAAACTTA